AGCAAGTTTACTGAAAACAAGGCAAAAGTGACAGCACTTTCTACAGTCCACTCTTGGAAGTCACTTCCTCTATTCTGAATTCTACTACTGTGCCCAGGATACCCTGTTGGCACCCATGTTATTCTCCATTGGTTCAAACAGTCACTAGTACTTTGGGATTTAAAGAGGAGGACTTTGATCCCACCTATTGATGGGAAGAATATTAATAAATTTGTAAATGGTAGCCACCAATCTATCAAACCATGACCATTAACTACCCACTTATTGACTAACCACAGGATAAGAATTCTAAAGATATTTTCTCGTTCATTTGTTCATCAAATTTATATTGAATGCTTACCATGGGTCAGACACAGTAGTTCTGAGAGCCAAACATGAAAAACATAACTATACCCATGATTACACAATTACCACTTTGCTAAATGATAAGAAGAATGAGGAGATATTAAAATGGAGCCTAACCAGGTGGGGCTAGGCTGTGAAGGTAATTTAGATGAGGTGGCCAGGAAAGGTCTATCTGGTGTTAAAGTAAAGGAGATAGAAGAAGAAGAAGAAGAAGAAGAAGAAGAAGAAGAAGAAGAAGAAGAAGAAGAAGAAGAAAACTATCAAGTTCTGAGGAGAACTTGATATTCCAAGCAGTGAGAATGACAAATTCAAACATTATAAGGCACAAAACGATTTGCATATTGAAGAAACAAACAAACAAAACCAATAAAACAAACAAAAAACAAAGGCTTCCAGGGCTGGAGTCATAGCTCAGTGGTAGAGCACATACTTGCCTAGCATGTGTGAGGTACTGGGTTTGATTCTCAGCACTGAATATAAATAAATAAAATAAAGGTCTATCAATAACTAAAAATATATTTTAAAAAAGGATTCCAATGTAGACAGTAAACATAAAATCATGGCACATGATAATGTTAGACTGGTAGATAGTGGCTGAACTCAGCAGTTTAATAAGTTCATTCTCCTTTAGTTTGCCTTCTTTTCTAATTAAGCACTGCCTCATTTACTTTCACACTTTGTTTTTGGACTGGAGATTGAACCCAGGGGCAATTAACCCCTGAGCCACATCACCAACCCTTTTTTATATTTTAGTGAGAGACAGGTCTTGCTGAGCTGCTTAGGGCCTCTCTAAGTTGCTGAGGCTGGCTTTGAACTCATGATCCTTTTGTCTCAGCCTCCCAAATCGCTGGGATCACAGGCTTGAGCCACAGTGCCAGGCTACTTTCACAACATTTGTTATTGTCAGAAGACTTTAAGGATGTTTTTCCTATGTGAGAAAAACATAAGAAGTAGATAAAGAGAGAAACAAATGTGGTTCTTGCAGAAAAAGTAAGGTGGATGTAGTCTGGTGACATTGTTTGAACTGTCATTAAAAGCCAGATGTTGGGCAGCAGCATCCACAGTTTCCACAAAGCTGCTCAGTCAACGAACATATGAAATACCTTGGTGTCGAGCTTGTGTTTTGCTTGCCAACAATGATAGTAAATTGAGATCCTGGCAAAACTGAGAAACTCAGAAACTTGGCACCTATTTTTCTAGCATCTGCTTTCAGCCGTCAGACCTTTTCCAGTTTTTCAGATACCTCTCTGGTCCATACTGTTTTACTATATCAATGTAGTAAAGGGTCCAATGACATCCAACAGTGATGATGAGAACTATTAAAATAATAATTAGCACATATTGAATACCTCTCATGTGCCAAGAGTTTTACACATATTATCTCTTTTAATCCTCCTAACAGCCTTGGGAGGTAAGGTAGTACTAGTATTGCCATTTTACACATGAGAGACTTGAAGATCCGGGAGGCTAAGTTCCTTGGCTAAAATCACAGAGCTGATACATAGAAACTAGTCTGAGTGATGATTCCACTCTTTTAGGTGCTATTGAATTCTGAAACTCTTCCAGACAGCACAGAATATAATTAGGCACCTGAAAACTTTGCATATGCAGTGCCCCTAAAGGTGAATATTTACCTAATTTTTCATTTTAATCCAGATGCCTGGCTTCATATAGGCCAAATTGAACTGTTGCCTGTGTAAAAAGTATTTACCCTTTCTCAAGGCATTACCTTCATAACATAATTAAGATTAAAAAAAACCAATTTCTTATTTGCATGTTGGTTTAAGAATTTAAGTCCCTAAACTAACACAAACCACCATTTTGAGCTTTAGCTATCCTTGGAGAGAATGGCATGTAAATCAGCCTCCTTAAATACTTTGAATTAAGTGATATGCAGAGAACAGCTTGCCTTTAATGGATATCCTTACCTGATCTCAATAGGGCCCTGTCTCAGGTATTAAAAAGAAGAAACCCAATTAGCTCTAATTGCTGCTCTCAATGGACATGTTGCCTTCTCATTGGAAATGGCAGCTTCTGCCATGGAGGAACAAATGCCTCTAAAATTTCCAGGTGGACATATCCCTCCCTTTTTTTCACCCTCACACTTCTTTTCTCCACAGTGTATCATACAACTCACACACCCCTAAGATCTACAAATTCACAGTTAGGAATGAGCTCCTCAAAGGAAGGCAATCAATCCTATTCCCAGCAGGTCAGGTGACTTCATCTTTCTCTTCTTTGGTTTAGTTGAGCAAACATTAACTAGGTGCAGGGTCTATGTCTGATCTTGTATAGGTGGTCCAATGGTTAGAATGAAGACTTTTCAAGATGTGTTCACATCAACTTTATTCTTTTTGTGCCCAGAAGAGTGTTATATGCATACAAAATGTGTTCATCTTTTTTTTTTTTTTTGTACCAAGGATTGAACTCATCCCTAGCTCTTTTTAATTTTTTTTTTTTAATTTTGAGACATGGTCTCAATGAGTTACTTAGGGCCTAGTTGCTGAGGCTCACTTTAAAGTTACCATCCTCCTGCCTCAGCCTCCTGAGCTGCTGGGATTACAGGCATGTATCATGATGCCCTGCTATACTTAAATTTATATTTAACATATTTATTATATGTTGAAGTTATATTTAACAAGTATGCAAAAAATATAATGAATGAATGATTTTATCTTTATTTCCAATGGCCCAAAGCAATGCTGTGACCTGACCCTAAGAGGAAATGTTCAAGATTCTCTACCTCTTACCACAAGATCTACTGTCAAATTTGCCCCAAGAAAAATATCAGAGTTTTAGAACTGGAACTATTCTGAAAGCATTATACAGCCTAGCCAGTACTTTAGGCAGGGACAAATTACCTTATAGGAATTTATTATTAGATGGGCAGAAATACACATATGCAAATAATTACCCTAGACAATATAATGCTAAAACAGAAATATGTTCAAAGTCTTGTACTAGCAAAGGAAGAACTTTAGAGGGACAGTAAAGGCTTAGAGTACTTCACAGAGTGTGTGACATTTAATATTTAATAATTGAAGGATTGAAAGGAGTTAACACAGGAGGAGGGAGGCAGAAGCAAAAGTGGAAACAGCATGTACAAAGTCACGGAGTCACAAAGAGTATGAGACATTTATTATGTTCTTAATTGGCGGTCCTTGTAGCAGAGGTTGATTAAATACTGAGGAATGTAGACATATTTCTATTATAGGAAGATCACTCTGATGATAAGGAAGAAGAGCCTAGGAAATCATTCGTACTTCTTGACAGTCCCTTTCAGGCCTTTATTTTTGTACCAACAATGGTGGACTGAGAACATTAAACATAGAGCTCATATTTTCTCCCTTGGGTTTTCCATTCTAGAAATGGGAACACATCAAATTGTGGGGGTTTGTTATGTTCAGTAAATGCTGAGGCAACTGATACCACCAAATTTGTATGTATTTTTTAGAACATTCTATGAACCTATAAGTAATTGTATTATATTTTTCTTTTACCTTTTTTGCACAATTGGTGCCAGACTATGCGTACTGCACTACAACTGGGTTTTTTTTATTGGTTGTTCACAACATTACAAAGCTCTTGACATATCATATTTCATACATTAGATTGAAGTGGGTTACAACAATTACTAATAGGGCATTATGTAAAATTGTGGATGTGTAACTGATGTGATTCTGCAATCTGCATTTGGGGTAAAATTGGGAGTTCATAACCCACTACAACTGGGTTTTTGCACTCAAAATATAATGTGTAGATCTGTCCATGTCAGCACATGCAGAATTCACTTGTTATTTGTTGTTGTTGTTTATGTTTGTTTATTCATAGATGTATTATATTCCATTGTATGTGTGTTTTAATGCATTGAGCAAATTAGATTGCTTTTATCTTTTGTTCTTACGAATAATCCTTAAATAAAAAGTTAAAATTGGGCTGGGGTTGTGGCTTAGCTGTAGAGTGCTTGACTAGCACGTATGAGGCCCTGGGTTCGATCCTCAGGACCACATAAAAATAAATAAATAAAATAAATGTATTGTGTCCAACTACAACTAAAAAATAAAATATATATTAAAAAGTTAAAATTAATTTAATGCCAGGATATTTTTATCAACAATTTGAGGGGGAAAGGGAAGACATTGGTATTAAACTGCAACACATTTCCTTTTTCCCTCTCACTTTACATCTAAACAATGTTCACCTAAGAAAGGTTATCGGCACTAATATCTTCCATGGTCCAAGAAACCCCTCAGTTAGTGAAAAGAGTATGAGTTTGGTGGTAGGTGAGCCTTGGGCTCAGATTCAAATTGTGGTTTCATTACAATCTAGCTGGATGGTTTTGAGTAAATGAATTAGTCTTTGAGAATCAGTTGTGATCTGTAAAATAGGGACAATAATAGTAGCTACTTTGTAATGTTACTGTGAGGATTTAGCACACAATGATCCACAGAAGGAATTAATATAGTGCCTGGTACCTACAAAATGTCCAACAAATGAAACTTCCGGTTCATGAACAGGGAGAGTATTGATGGAACATGGGAAAACTCATCAATTTAACATGAACTATTGTTGATGCTATAGAAATATTTTGTGTTGTTGGGGTTTTCAATAAATGCCCAGATCCACTAAAAGCTTCAAATATAATTAGCCCAGGTCTATTTCCCTCGTTGCACCAATTTTCTCAGAGCTACTTTCACATCCTTGTTCCTTAGGGTGTAAATGACAGGGTTGAGTGAAGGAGTAAGCACTGTATATAGAAGGGAAAGCAACTTTAAGATGTCTTCATACTGAGGCCCTGATGGGAAACCATAGACAATGCCCAGTGTCCCATAATAGAGACTGACCACTGTTAGGTGTGAAGAACAGGTAGAGAAAGCCCGCTGCTTCCCTGTGGCAGAAGGAATCCTCAGAATAGTGGAAATAATGTGAATATAGGAAGCCAGGGTCAGCAGGAAAGGGCCAAGGGCAAATAGAGAGGTGCATATAAAAGAGGTCATCTCAGCTACCTGAGTATCAGTGCAGGCAAGTTTCATGATGGGCTTCAAATCACAGAAGAAGTGGTCAATCTCATTAGCAGAACAGAATGTTAAACGAAAAATGAGGACCATGAGAAGGATGGGTGCCAGAAATCCAGCCAGCCAAGAGGCAGCAGCTAGGTGTAAGCAACCCCAGAAGTCCATGATGCTGGAGTAGTGCAGTGGGTTACAGATGGCTATATAGCGATCATAAGACATTACAGCCAGGAAGAAGCATTCTGTGGCCACGAGGGAAGCAAAAAAATAAAACTGGCAAGCACAGGCTGGGAAGGAAATAGGCACATGAGCTGACAGCAATGTCCTCAACATTATGGGCTCAATGGTAGTAGTATAGCCAATCTCTAGGAAGGAGAAGTGGACAAGAAAGAAATACATGGGTGTATGAAGGGAGCAATCAGCTGACACCACAGTTAGGATCACCATATTGCCTATGAGAGTCATCACATAAATGGTCAGAAATATCCCAAAAAGAAGAAACTGAAATCCATGGAGATCCCCAAAACCCAAAAGGATAATTTCTGAAATTTGAGTTGTATTTTCTTCTGTACTGCTGGCCATGATTTGGATCTAAAATAAATACATAAGTAAAAATTTAAAGAATAACCATTGATCAAATACTATTTTTAGAAAAAATCAAACAAGAGACTTTATACATATCAAGCATAATTGGCTTCTCTGTAGACATGCAAGATTCTTAAACTTAATTAATATATTTGACCATAGCCTCCCAGGAGCCATTGGGAAATTTAATCTATGACTTTAATTATCTCACCATATTTAGAATGTATAGGTTCTTGAAATTGTGACTATAACACATAAATATGCAGTTTTTAATATATAAAAATAGGAAGAAGTGTTCAATTCTTGGAGATCTGACTCTGGTTGCCTCTGCTGTTGCTGCAGGTATTATCATCAACAATGAACATCCCTAGCCATCTATGTGTAAATTTCATAAGATCTGTGATCAATTTTGTTTCCTGTTTTAGAAATTCCATACCCATTAAATTATATATATTGTGTTTCATCATGACAAAGTATGTCTAGTCCTTAAAACTTACTTACGTGACAGCAAGTTCATTAAATAATAGAAGAGGCACAATACAGCAGTGCAAGAGTAAACTAGCAATCGTAAAGAGTGTGAGTAAGGGAGAACATTTCAGGTAGAGGGAGTAAGGATTGGTGCAAGGAAGGACTGAGTTTTAGAAAACTAAGGGTGGAAAAGTGGGAAGGAGGGAGGGAAAGAGAAAAAGAGAAAGAACACTCAGAAACAGAGACACAGTGACAGAGATATAGAAAGAACAAGGAAGAGGAGGAGAAAAGAGGGGGAAGGATAAAAGGAGCACAAGAAGAAAAACAGGAAGAGAGAAGGAGGAAAGAAAAAGGGAGAGAAGAAAGAAGGAGGGAGAAAAGAAAGAAAGGACAGAAGGAAAGGAGGAAGAGGAGGAGGAGGAAGAGGAAGAGGAGAAGGGAAAAAGGAGGAAGAGGAAGATGAGAAGGAAAAAAGGAAGAAGAAGAGGAAGAGAAAAGAAAGGAAGGAAGAAGACAGGTCAGATCATTCAGGAATTTATGTTTTTAAATACTGTGTAATTCCACTGGATGGTGTTAAGCAGCAGTGTAATCCCATTTACAGTTTAAAAGTTGCCTTTGATGTTATGTAATACATAGAAGGACAACTTCAAGGACAAAGTGAGAGAAATAAAAGAATATTTCAGAGTACCAAGTGAGAGATAATAGAATATCTGAATAAAATGGTTACACAAAAGATGGAGAGAAGACAAATTCAAGATGTACTTGGGAGGTAGAAACACCAGGACTTACTGACATACAGATATTAGGAGTAATGAAAACTGAATTATTGGAGATGACTCTTGAGTTTCTGGCTTCAGTAACTGGTGCATTGATTTAGATGGTGAAGATTGTGGGAAGGAAAAGATTAGGGGACTCAAAAGTTCAATTTGTGTGAAGTTCAATTTGTATGAAGTGGAGAGAGTAGAGAGGCAATTTGTGAGTTTGTGAGTTTGGGGGTTTGTGAGTATATAGCTCAAAAGAGAGGAGTTCATTGGACTATAAATTTAGAATTTATGTGAATATACATAACATTCAAAGACATGGGAATGAATGAGGTGACCTACAGAGAGATTATAGATATAGAAGAATGCCCTACACTGAACTTGACCCCCCTCTTTCTTTTAGTCCTAACAGAGAAGAAGAAACCAGAATAGGAGATTGAAAAGGAGGAATCAGTGAGGTAGGATCAAAAACCAGGAGGAACTGGAATAAAGGAATCCAAATTTCAAGAGAAATATGTTGATTATGTTAAACACTGTTGTAAGATCAAGACAGAGAATGGTCTGACATATTTGGTTACATGGATAATCAATTCAATTGGGCTAATGGAGACTGAAGAGAAGCAGAGAAATGGGGTTGTAACCGAAGAGTGATGAGCATTGACCCTACCTTTTCAAAGCTGATGAGAATGATCCAGCATGGATACTGAAGACATGTAAGTAAACAAGGAGCTAATTTTGGGAGTAAAATCTTTTAGAAGCTGAGAGGGGATAGGATATAGAACACAGGAAGAGGGTTTAACCTATGATAAGGGCAGGAACACTCATTTTTTAGCAGGTAGAAGTTCAGGAAATTGTTCCAGTTGTAGTTAAGTTGCTATATGTGATCTTAGGAAGATGACTGAGTTTGTATCTATGGCTTCTGTTTTTTCAGTGATGTGTGAGAAAAGGTCATCACCTAAGAGTAAAGATAGGGAAGGAGATGTTGGAGGTTTGAGAGCCAAGGAAAAGCTATAAAATATTCACATCTGGCAGTGAATGAGCTACATCCCACTAGAATAAATACTGTGTTTTCCAGTCAGTATTGAGTAGTGGCAATTTGATGTTTGAGATCATGAATTTAAGAAGGCACAATCAGACTCTTTTTCTTATGTGATATTCTTTGACAATGTTTAGCTACCAGGACAGAGTAGACAGTTTAAATCAGGTTTGGCATTTGCCAAGGCAAAACAGTGGAAGGAAAGAGGGGCATGAAAATTGTGGTATACTTTTTAAAAGTTAGAGTGAATAATTACATGGTAAATGTTAAGTTTCCTCTCACTGCCTTCCACTGATTATCAAGTCAGGGGATGCTGAAGATACGAAGAACTTCTAAAATGTCATTTGACCAATGCTTTAATTTTCTAACTGAAAAAGATGATCCAGACAGGTAAAGTGTCTTCCTTAGGATCTGGGGTCTATTAGTAATAGAGCAGTAACTAACACTACGATTTTACTTCTGGTCCTCACTACTTTCATTATAGCATGCTCTTCTTTTTCTTGCTCTCATCTCTCTTCAGTGCTCTGAACAAGAAAGGATCTTAATGTATACTATGGAAGTACACGAAAAAAAGGCTTACCTTCTGTTTAGTAATTTACATGCCTGGAGTACAATACCTTTTGAAGAACTTTGAAATCCATTACTATTTTTAATCTTCTCAACTATCTTGTGAAGTATTTGGGAATAGGTCTTTGATTTGTCTCATTGGATTTACAGATGAGAAAACAGAACTATGATGGTACTACTACCACATGATGCTTGTATTTCAATTATGACCCTTCTTCCTGGAGAAAAAAAAAAAGTTATTCTCATTGGTGTTGATGTAAATGTGAACTTGCAAGATAATAATTATATTATGGATTTTTGGTCAGGTAACTGGATAATAGGAACCATGTGTGGTTGCCATCATTTGAGCATGATGTAAGAAACTGAGGTAGATTTATAAGAAACTGCTTTAGGAAAAACAAGTTTGGAGGGTAGAATGAAGTAAACTGTATTTGATGTAGTACTGTTTCAGACCTTTGGTAGATGTCCAGAAAAACTAGAATCTTCTTAGGAGAAGAATAGAGAGAAGGAATAATGTGCAAAAAAAGTCTAGTAACCTGACACCCATGCTGACCATTAGTTTTGGAAGGACTTTTGAGCTAAATGAGTAGGGAACTGAGCACAGAAAAGGTAGTAGCACACATAGTTTTGGAGAAAAGGATTGAAAAAAAGTCACTCACAGAAATGAGAGAAACAAAGAGAATGATGTCACAGAGTCCAAGGAAGAAGTGGAGCCATTAGAATTACTAGTAAAGAAGGTTCCATGCATATGAGAGTGCTTGGGCAGGGATCCTGAGTGCAGTAAGGTAAGGAGATGAAAGGAAAAACAATAAATCTTGACTATGATTTCAAGAAGGTTGTTGGTAAAGCAAAGGAGGGAGACAGACAGCCACAAAGCTAAGGATAGAAGAGAGGACAGAGGGAAACTTTTTATTCTCACTTCTTGCTTTTTTAGTAAAGGAGAAACTAAACTAAGAGTCTAGGCAAAGTGTCTAACTCCAGAGAAAAGAAAGACATGCAAGAGAATGAGTGATAGAGCAAGGATCACCAAGGAGGTTGGAAGGAATAAGATGGGGAAATACACAATTGGAGGCATTATCTTCAGGAAGGAATGAAATGTCATCCTTTATAAGAGAAAGAAGAGGGTAAAAGTGGACAGTGATTATGAAGATAATTACCTCTTCTTTTTCCTTCCACTTGAGTTTGGAGACATAAGCCATCCTTAGATGACTACGATGAGGCCTTGGCAGAGATGTTCGCTTTGCTTCCTCAGAGCCTGTCTTCTTGTTCCATCTATATTTGTGGAGCCTAAAATATTTGGCAGAGTCTGAAGTGGGTTGCTATGACAGGTAGCTGGTTTGCTGTACCACTACTGTGTTGTCTGACCAGGAGTAGATCCAGTAACAGCATGGCAGACACATAATACATCCTTTAAAAAGATCATACAGAACCTTGGGAATCATAGCTTTCCCACCTTTCCTTTTCTATCTACACAATTACACTTTTCCCTCCTCTAATTTCCCTGAAGCACATAAGGTTTCCAAAAGGAAGAACTAAGAGTATGTCACCTAAAGACACTTAGTTTTCAGGTGGTGTAGCCAAAGCATTTTTAGCTCCTGCAGTGACCTCCTTTGGGTTTAGAAAGAGCAAAATGCTTGCCAAAGTATCTATCTTTTAAACACTCCAACAACCTTCAGCAAGCAGGGACTGGTAGACACAGTTCAAATAAGAAAACCAATTATCTTTAAGTTTGGCTCCCAGGGGAGCTTTGCTTTTTAATTGAGAGATCGATGTTGGATTCTCATGACATCCTGAACTTCCATTCAGTGTCTGCTGACTAATGGTGTGAAATTGGATATTGGAGTATCTGACATGTCACATGGGTCAGAGCCCCGATCCATCTAGGCCAGCCTCCAGAGGCTGCTGAAAGTACCAAGCAACAGTTTGGGGAGGGTACAATGGGAAAAGTGCGGAAACTAGTGAGAAAAATCTAGATTTTAGATCTGTAGCTTCCAGTGCCTGTGTAATACAGCTTCCCTTACCCTCTCTTAGTCCCAGTTTTTCCTACTTTGAATCCCCGTCCTGCTGACTTCACATGGTTGTTGTGGGACATAATGTAATATTGTGTAGGAAACCCCTTTATTAAATAGGAAGCACATTTAAGAAGCATCTGAAAGATATTGGTG